AAGTGAAAGAACAGAGAAAACTCTTGGGAGAGTTGGAAGTCTGATGCTGAGGCGATCACAGATTTTGTGGAACATGCAGGCTTTTTTTATTCTCCTCAAGAAATAAATTTAGAATGCCGTATATAGTTCAGCACTTGTCACACATAAATCGAAGTATATTGAGAAACAGGCTTTAACTACTCTCTTGCCTTTTAACTTATGGGAATCCGTATTTCAGTGGAAATCTTGACGTTGTGTGGGGGGTTTCCACGTCGTCCTCTGCTGTTGTATATGGGACTTTGAGGATGCAGGACACCAGTAAAAGTGGCAAAAAAGTGTGTGGCAGTGAGCTTACAGCAGAGGTGACAGTGACCAGTTCGCTGCACACGTGTGGCTTAGTTTATGCGTGGGGACAGAAAGCAAGCCTGCCTTCGTGCTGTCTTGTAATTTATTGAGGAAAAGCTGGGTTTGTGTTCTGTCCAACAGGCCTTGCTTCCTCTGTTAGCTTAGAAATGGCAGGGACTGAGGAGAAGGTGAAGAAGAACATCTCTAAATTTTCTGGTGAAAAATAAGTCACAGAATTATTTTCAGAAAATTTTAATCCGAATTTATCAACAGGAGAAAGCACATGGAAATACTAATAACAAGATGCTGGGCTTTCCGTATTTATCCTGTAGTGTGCCGTTACTTGCAGCAGTGCGGAGCAGGTCCATTCAGTGGAGGGAAGTGAGGAAGGTAAGGGAGTGCTGTTAGGCTTTGGGCTGGTTTTGAGCTGGGAGTAAAAACTTCAGCAGAAAAATTAATCTGCACATTTACTCGGGTTTTTTTTTTGGTTATAGAGCAAAGCTTAAGTAATGCATTTGTATGGTAAATGGAATTTCTCAGTTGGCTCAGTTTGAATATTCAGTAATTATTCACTGTGATGCTTGTGGCCGTATTGAGATTTTATTCAAGAGCCATTGAAATAAGCCACAAAAGGGGGAAAGCTACTATTTTTGTTTTGTTATCATTTTGCTTAGGCCACATGCACAATGCTGTTCTTTGTATTTGAAATACTTTAAAAGATATTTCAGTGAATTCAGAAAATACACAGTAGAACTGGATGATCCAGTAACTATGGCTGGTAACGATTTGTGGATTTAGGTGCTAAAAAAGCCAGACATAATCTGTTTAACTTAACTAAATTATTTTTTTCTCAGTATATGGTTTGAAACATACCTGGTGGTTTCTCAAGGGCCTCGACTGGTGTTCTTCCTTTTAGAACAGCCACAGAGAAGAGGCAAGTTTCACGTTATTTACACAAAACTACCCTATCCTTTAGACATAACGAACATAAGAAAAATGTGCCTACCCTACACGTTTTAATCCTCCGAAGACTTACGCGCATGCTTCAGTGGGTCTTTCCACATGTGTAAGGCAGACAGATGACAGCCTTTAAGAGTAAATTTTAAAAAGCGGGAGAATAAAAATCCCCAACCCCCCCGTACCTAGAATGTGGTGTGTACCTTGTTTTAGTAACAGGCAGATGAAACCTGACAGTGGCGTGAGTGCTGGAAGAAGCCTTCCTTTCACGGGTCACCAGGAGTCATTTTGCGTTTCATCATGGTAGCAAATGTGTGAGGGGAGCTTAGGAGAAGGAGCGCTTGAGGCACAAGTTTGCATTCAGTGGGGTGATGTGACAGAGGTGAAGGGAGAGAGACGATTTTGTTGCAGGAATGAAAATAAGAAAGAATCAATAGTGTGAAGAAAAATAGGCGACAGGTGACAGCGCTCCCGGCGCGTGGGGCCTCGCCTGGGAGAACCGGCTGTTCAGCGGGCTTCACCTCCCATGGGAGCTTGTCTTGGCTTTACCTTCCGGGAAGACCTTTCTTTCCATAACTTTTATCAAACAAAACAGTCGGTATCTAAACAGCCTACCATGTTGCTTTTCAGCACTGCGGTCTGGGGGTCTATTTCTGTTGGTATAGGTTATGTGTTTTGTACAATTTGAATGCTTGGTGGAATTTGTGTTCTGTAGCCGTAACACCTCAACTGGATTATCCAGGAATGCCCGTGGTAGTTTTGGGTTTGGTGTTTTTTTTTTTTTTTGTTTTAGCTGAAATATTTTCTTGGCTGCTCATTAAATGAGGAATCTGCCTCCTAGAGTATTTGTTTCAATAGAAGGTAATAAAGGTGATTTACCCCACAGGTAAACATGTGAATGTATGTGAGTAAAGAGAGATTTATCGTCATTTCAGTCACGTTAGATTACCTCGGGAAGTTTGTTTCAGTATGTAAATACACGTATGTATGAGTTGATGCACATCTTCAACTAAGGAGGAGGAATTTTCAGTTCTTTTCTGTGTGTTGAATTTCTACAGATTTCTGTTCTGTGAGGGCAAAAGTACTTTGCAGTCCTTACCTACAGGCTTCTGCCTTATTTAAAGGCTTATTCAATAGACCTTGGCCAGAGAAGATCTCAGCCGTGCTCTCTCTATGTGTTTAGAGCAACAGTGAGGCTGAATCAAGGCAACAGGAGACCTTCAAAGTTTGCAGAGAGAGACAAATTACATTTCTATCAGTAAGAAGGAGGTTTTTTAACAAAAAAAAAAAAAAAAAAAAAAAAAAAAAAAAAAAAAAAAAAGCCGGTGTGGAAGATTAGAGAATGGAAAAATGCTTAACTGAGTATATTTTAAGATGTTGGAGACAAAAAATGGTGGAGTCCAATACAGAAATAAAGATTTAAAGCATATTAAAAAATTAACAGACATGTCTAAGAAATGGAGTAAAGTTAATCAGTAGTTCTTTAAATATGCACTGTACAAAATAAAAAGGAAAGAAAGCATTGATCAGGGTGTTGAAAGCTAGTGACAGGGATTAATCTGACTACACAAAAGACTGAAATCTTCACATAGTTGTTTGAGCAAGATAATATTGTCCGGTCTCTGAATTGCTTTTATCTTGGTAAGATGCATTCTAAAGCATTGCGGACTGACAAAAGACTGTAGCTGCCTGAAACTCACTGTTTCAAAAAAAAAAAAAAAAAAAAAAAAAAAAAAACAACAAAAAGGGGGGAAAAAAAAAAAAAAAGTATTTAATGAGGACTTAGGTTAAAAGGAAAGCAAAATTAATCCTGTTTGTACTCATTGCTTAAATCAGTTTCTGTTAATAAATAGGGGTTTTTAAATTCCGTGCAATGTTTGGGTGATGTTCGTCAGTACGTATGTTGTAGCTGCGGTCTTAGGCGGTAGATGCTGCAGTTGGTATTCGGGCAGGAGAGATAAATTAACAGCCGGGGAACTGGACAGTTCTTTCAGTGTTTGCAATGTGATCGAACTTAACATAAGAATTCAAAACTTGTAGAGATCAGTCCTTTGTGTACTGCAGTGGAAATGGAAGGTGGATAATTGTGTTTACACAGGCTACTAAAAACCAACAGACACAACAGAAAAAGGAAATTAAACCCCAAACCTTTGTTCGTTGCCAACAAAGAGTTACTTGTCTGGATCCAGATTTTATGTGCCGGTGAGGAATGGGCCTAACACTGCTGGACTCAGTTTCACAGCAGTGTTATCAGGATTTCCTTTCCAGATACATTTTAGACATGTAGAAAGTGTAACTTGCTGTATTTGCTTCTTTTTATTTTTAAAACAATATTTTTAAAATACAACTTCTACAATTTCAAAATTAAATGGGGGGAAAGTCAACAGGAGCTGAGGACATTTTGCATCTTAGAAATGGCTTCTGAATCACTGTGGTGTTCTTTGAGGGAGCAAGTAAAAAAGTAATTAAGAAATAAAGATTTGGTACTTGTAATTTTATTTGAAATAGCTTATGAAAAGGGACTGGGACTTTTACAAGAGACAAATTATTATATTTAAGATTCAAACTGTTTCGTAACAGCACTATGATATTAATTCTTAAGAAATTAATAATTAGTACTGATGAGGATACTGCACGTGGCCCTCAGTCATTGTAACACCAGATGGTATTTGATTGAAGTTCCCGTTAGATGAAGATTTTTTTCAGTATTTGCCGAGATTCACCTTGATGTTGTCATACAGTATTTTCTTCTTATGAACCTGAACAGTGCTTGTACTGTGCTTTGATAATCTTACGTGTTGGTGTTCTACCTAAAATACATGAATGAAAATACTGTTTGTTATGTTGCATGTTAGGAGAAACTGATCTTAAAAAAATAACAATCTGTTTAGCATGTTAGCACTTTGGGCTAGAGTAGTTGAAATAATAAAAATAAAATATAACACTTAAGGAGCTGTTGATGAATTAATTCAGTGTGTGAAACTCCAGTTGCCCATCAGCTTCTGGCTGCTGTCATGAATGAATGTTTTCTCTTGTTTTCTTAGAATTTTCTCTTTTTTTACTTTCATTCTGTGCCCTATTTTTAAATTAATTGGAAGATTATGGTTTATTAAGGAAATTTTTTTTTAAATAAAGGGACTCCCATGAAGGCAATATATGGTGCATTGTAGCATGGCAGTCATTGGATTCCATCCAAGTTGATTTAATTAATTTTTTACTGTGGTATGTTATACGTAAGCTTCTAGTACAGGGAATGACATGGGAGTAAAGCACTACAATCACCAGTCAGTCAAAAACCACCTTACATTTTTTGGGTGGTTACAAAAGAACTCTGAATCTTGTGGGACCTTGTGAGAGCTCTGATGGGTGTTTCCTTAAGCCAGAAAAACTCCACGGTTGTAAGGCTCTTATCCTTTCTAAAAAAGCTGAAAAATAACAGGTAGGGCAAAGAAAATGCTAAACTATCCTGATGTTTATTATTACGTATCTCGCAGTGTGCCCTGGAACCATTTTCTAAATCCTCCCTAGGAGGCCAGCGTTCCGTGAGCCTTGTCTCGGTGAGGGTCCAGAGGAGCCTCCATTCTGTGAGGGATTGGCCCGCCCAGACCTCCAGATCTCTCGTCTCTGCCCATCGTTAGTGAAACCACGGTGTGCTGAAATCCACTTTTCCAAGTGCTGTTTTCTGATGCTTTCATAATTCTCACTTTTGCTGTTCACAGAGAGCGAGGAAGTGTACCAGCGCCAGGTGCTGTCCATCTCCTGCATCGCCTTCGGCATAGTCGTAGTGGGCATGCTCTGTGCAGCGTTCTACTTCAAAACAAAGTAAGAGCCTTCCCGTCGCCTCTTTGATATGTAGCTTCTGTACTGGTTACAGCTTTACAATTCCTCCGTTTCTTCACTCCTTTTGAGGCTGTTGCTATCTCTGGACAGGCTAGAACAGCTCCTTGTGGCTACTCTAAGTCAAAAAAAAAAAAACAAACCAAACCCAAAACCGGGAGTACTATGTGTTCTTGTTTCTATTTTCTGATACCAGGAAAGAAGAGATCGTGTCCTTTCCAGTTCTTTTTTTGACAATAATAATTTTGTTTCTTTTACTATCAGTGCAATAATCACTTTCCTCTTTTGAAAATAAAAGTTTAAACATACCATCTCCTTTTTGCATTTCACATCCCTGAATGTCCCTTTTGTTTGTGTATGCTGAAAACAAGTGGGAAGTTAGAAATGCAGAAAAAGTCAAGTTCTCTGTAGATCTCTGTAACCTGTCGGTAATAGTTGTAAACTGCTAATGCAGTTACACAATGAGTATCTGCAGCGCACAAGCACATTAAACTATCCAAGTGTGGTGAAATCATACGTACTAAACGATTTCCAGGTGAAATACTCACTTTCCGCTCTCTTCTTTGTCTTTACAAGGGAGCATTATTTTATAACGTTTATTGTTATGTGTGTAATTCGAGTTGCAGAAGCCTCATAGCAATTACATGCCATGCTTGTCAGTGCACGGTGTCTATAAATATGTTCTGTATGGTTGTCGCCCCTCCATAGCCAGAGCTAATGAGAGAACACACAGCAATATAAATAGTACCTGCATATGGTTAGTCATGGTGGCTGAGCATCGAAAATGTGGGGGTTTGCACTATTTAGAAGTTTGGATGCTTATCTGAATCCTCCTTCTTAGAATTGATTTTAATGTGTAGGAAATCTGATGAGGACTACTTTTTATTTAAAAAGAAAATGGCATTTCTATCAGGAGAAAAAAGAAGTTGGAAAAGTCACCACAGGCCTTTTCCTCCCCCCTTTCTCTTCCCCTCAGGCTTCAGGGAAAGTTTGTGTATGATTTGAGTGCAGGTTCGAGTTGGTTCATGTTTCGTCTGAACAACCCTGTTCTGAAGCCTGGAGGGATTTTGTTTAATGTTCTGTGGAGCTGGCGTATGCAAGTGGTGCTGGCTGGGAGGGTGCTGTGTCGGGGCAGTTGCTCTCTGCGAGCTCCTGGGCTGGAGTGTCAGTCGTGAGCAGACAGCCCTCCTGCCACTGCATCAGCATCTTAGATCTGCAGAAGAAAGAAACTGAGAATAAGGTGTTGCTGTTCTTCTGGAAAGGCTTGCTGAGGAGATGCAGAAAGGCAGAACGGGACTGTCAGTCAGGACATGCAGTCAGCAGCGGAGCACGGGGGAGTGAAAGGTCCCTCTGTTACTCGGCGGTGTCCCTCCTGGTTCTGCACTGGGAGAGCCTTCAAAACACCATGGCTTTGGTGAGGTGGAGAGCTGTGGCTGAAAATAACGAGCAGGAAAAATGCTTCGAGGCTGAACTCACCGCACAGCAGTGCCTCGCATCGCAGCAGGAGGGGGGTTGGGTTTTATCTGCGTTATAAGGATGACAGTTAAGCGTTACTGGGAACAGTTGGAGTGTGCTTATGCCAGATGCTGGGAACTGAAGTTTGAAGAATAATGAGAAAATAATCACCTCCTGTCCAGTCCAGAGGCCTTACCAAACACAGTGACGGTAAGGTACCAACCAACCCCTACCCTGGCTCCATCTGGCAAACTGTCCAAAGGCCACAGTGTCCAGGCTGGGCTGCGTAGAGGCCACGTAAAGCAGCGTCACAACTGTGACACTGGCCGGGGTCTTAGGGGTGTTTTTACACCCAACAAATCTGAAGTGCCTCAGCCCTTACATTGGCTTCTAGGCAGCAGATTTTCAGAAGCTGCTTCGTCAGGCTCTTGATCATGCTTAAGAGTTACCAGAGCATTCCTCCTGCATGGGGGATGATCCCTGGGTTTAATCTGATGTATCAAAAATTTAAAATCTTGCTAACAGCTATAAAAACTCTGCACGGTTGCACCCTTTAAGAAAAAAGTTTCAATGAAGACATTGACACTGACTTTCTTAGTCTGACAATTGCATAATGCAAGCTGCCAGAAATAGGCACTTCCCTATGCACCATTAAATTAAGTCCTCCTTTAATTATCATTCTAAAATTCCTCAGATGCAATTTATTTTAAACACTGAGCCCTTCCAATTATTCCTTTTAGGGTAAAGAAAATTCTGTAAGTGTTAGCAACAGAGAGAGAGTGCAGTGAGTTGCTGCTCTCCATGGCTTAGATCTTTATAAATGACTGGTGACTAGTTCTCGCTGAAGTGACAACACTTCATTGCCAAATATCTCTAAAGTAGAACACATAAGGCCTATTTGTTTTGCAAACAAAAATTATAAAACAAATAGATTAATCAGTGAGTAACTTTGAATTATTAATAGTTTCTAGTTTTATAACTGTGCATCCTATCGTTTGGCAAAATGAATATGCATAAACCTAACATTAATGTTAGGTTGCATGAACATCAAAAAAAATTAATCGTTTGATTGTTTCTCACAGCAAATTACCTTCAGGAATCTCAGCTGTAATGTTAAAGATTGCAGCAGTGAATCTGAATATTCCAGTTTACTTATGTAAGTTTATAGATGTAGAAACAACTCTAAACCCGGCTTCTCTAAATAAATCCAAATTAGAGTTAAAACAATTTGTAATTTCTTTTGTTACTTTCCTGGTTAAATTCCAAGAACATGGTATGTATAGGAGAGATTCCCAAGGCTGATGCTGTGACGGTGTTGCACTGTCATTGTTTGACTTTACGCGAAGCCCTGACTCGAGAGCAGCGGTGGAGCGGCTGGACGTTCCACGGCCCTTGGCGCCCGCACGCAGGTGCGGCCTTTCCAGCAGGGCGTACAGATACTGAGATACGCTCATTTCCTCAGTGTGTGACATTTAGCTGGTCAGAAAATAATTATTCATACAAACTCTAGAGTTGCTTCTACAAATTTCCCCTGGAATTTTATGAGAAGCTAAAGAGTTCATTCTGATGTTTTACAAATTAAATTATTCAAGTTCATCGGTTTCAAAAATGAGTAGACATCAAAAAATGTTTTTAAAAGAGGTATTTCAGATCAACTGACTAACCAATTCAATTTGGCATTATAACCCTTCAGATTATATATCTGTTCATTTGATACTAACTTTACAGGTTGCTTTGGATAAGTAAGAATTTTGAAAAATTTAATAAGTTCCTGTGATTGAGAGATTGTTTCCTCCCCCAGCCATATTCAGAAATCTTGCTAATTATGGGCTCCTACCTGTACTTAAAATGTGACACTTAAATTTCACATTCTTACAATGTAAATTCATTCTTTCGTTTGCCATGCTGTTTCAAAATAAGATGTAAATAGAAAGCATCAGAAATACGTAGAGTTCAAGGTTTGTTGGGGTTTATGACTTGTTTTCAGGAAACATCCTGTAACAAATACCTGCTTCCAAGCAGGTGCTTACAGCTTGATGAATTTAAGCAAAGCTTAAATTGTGCCATGCTGAATGAGAACTAAGGGACTCAAAGGCGGAGGAGATCCCATATATTTATTTTAATACATTAAAAAGTATATTGTTAAAATTGAATCTTGAACTGTGATACTTCTCACTGCTTGCTTTCACACTGAGGGAACTTGTCCTTTCTCACAGTTTACCCCCTTGACCACTTAAGTAATTTTCCTCTGGTTTCTTACATTTTCTTGCACTAGACACAGACTCCACTGAAAGAAGTTAAAATTACTTTTGTACTTCATTTGGTATAAAATTCATTAGCCTGAGTCGAGTAAGATGCTCTCAAACTTGATGATGTCACAAGGCTTTTAACAGCAAAACCACCAGAAATTTTTCAAAATGTTGCTGAAGCTTCTTTGCTAAAATTTCAGATTTCACTATAGAAAGACTTCATTTCCTTTATTCTTACGGACACTTCCCTGAAATCACTTCCCTCTGAAATGTGGCTCTGCGCCAAGTGCCGTCCAAAAGCTGCTGGTGGCACAACACGGGGCTCTGCTGCTGGAGAGTCCTCGGCCTTGCTGGGCAGCTCCCAGAGCCTTTGTAGGCTCACTGCTGGGGATGCCTCTGCTAGGGAGAAAAGGGATAAGGGAATCGAGGAAGGAAAGAATCAAAATAGCACTGTGGAGTTATTTCTTGTGATCATTTAAAACTGACAGTCTCAGACAATGTAGCTTATCAAAAGAATGGAGACTGATAAAAGACCTTAAATATATTTTTCCCAGCTGAGGTATCTGTTGGCATAAGATAAAATAAATATTTAAAATAAAGTTTGCTGCCTCATATCCTCAGTCGAACAGAACTTTAAAACTCAGTTTGTCAGTATAGTGGGGCAGAAACAGAAAGCCTTTATTAGTAGTGCAGTTATCTCCTGAATATTGCAAGTGATTCACCTGGTGGTGGTCCTGGCTCCGACAGGGTGGCTCGTGGCACGGTGTGTCAAAAGCGCAGCCTCAGATGCCTTACTGGTGGGGGGTTCAGGTTTAAGTGTGCAAGCAAATGCTGGTCCATACAGGATACTGGGTTATAGGTCATGTCTAATCAGATAGCAGAAATCTCTGATTCTTCAACACTTTCGATAGCCAACAGGAGCTAGTGCCTGCTGTATTTGCCAAAATCTTTGTTCCAAATCGGAGCAAAATGCTTTTTTTGATATTCAGGCCTACATGCAAGCTATTGTTTAATATGTAATAGATTATCTTACAAAATTCTGCACTAAAACAACTAGCATGCCATTATAGCTATTTTCCTTCCATAATCCTCTCCAGAAAATGACCACTGCTTTGAAATCTTAGACACTAGCGAATTAGCTCAGCTGGGTAATCTAATGCGGCGAAGTTTTGAACAAAGGGAACCGTGGCTATAAAAATATCGTGGCTATAGTAGAGGATCAAACTAGCTCTTTCTTACATGAATTTTATTTCTCTCTGCAGGAAACAAACAAAGCAAATCCATGAACAGCTGAAAGAAACACAGAATAGAAAAACCTACAGCCTAAATGCTTCCAGCATGATGGCAAAGTCAGAGTGTGTGGCACAAAGCCGAGTCCAGCTGCAAAATGTAAGTAATCCTGCCAGCTACAACACTTAATGGCCTGGCTGGGTTCCTGCTGCTGATGGCAGCACATTGCCACGTTGCTATTAGCATCTGAGCAATGGGAACAAGAATTCTCACCTCTTTCATAAAATGTTTTCTATCAGGCCTCTTAATGGAAAACACCAAGCAGGGATTTTTTTCTCAAGTTATTTCAATGGCTCCAGGTACATTTGGTTCATGTTAGACCTTCCTGAGCCCCTAGCTCTGCCTCCAACAGTGGAAATGGCTGTTACAGCTTCTGGCAAGACCTAGCTCATGTGTATGGTTTATAGGTGAAGCGGGTGTCCTTGGTCTTAAGTGGTTTCAAGTCTTCCAATCCTTAATGAACCTGCATGAAAAAAATGTAGAGATTTGTCAGAGTAAATTCAAAATCTAGAACCAAATGTACACGTCTAAACTAGTGCCCAAGGGAAGACTGTGCAGGTGGTCTTTTTCCTGAGTCTTGAGTTAAAGTGGTCTTTGATACCCGAGATTAGTCTGTTCAAACTAAATTTGAAATGCATTTATTCTTTTTCTGTACATGGTTGTGTGTACAGTCCCACAGTCATGAAATGTATAAAGCAGATTTGAAACAACCTGAAGACGACCGATGTATTTAGCCCTGGATGCAAAGTATTTTCCAGTGCTTGTCATTCCCTTCCCCCTGGTCATACATATTTAGTTCTGTCTTATTCTGAACATTGTCTTCAAAACAACTGAGAAGGATCCTGGTAGCAATACAATAGGAAACCATAAAAGATGGATTGAAGCCTTCTAAATGCTTAACTCCTTAAAAAAACCAAGTGTCTTAGATCTGCTTAAAGGGCTGACTACCTTATTTGCTGGATTCCATTGAAACAGTGGGAGTTTAAAAAAAGTGAGCACTCATACCCACTTAGCCACAGATGTCTCAACTCCTGGTTTACGTCAAATTGATGCAGAAATAAGTATAAGCCCTTTTGCCCAGTGCAGCAGAGTCTCCATGCTACGGCAGAGCTGTTGTCGGAACATTTCTTGTGTTCACTAAAAGTTTTGTTTTACAGGAGCACCATTGTGCTCATGATACGGTTTGTTCAGGAAAAATACACTCTTTCAAGGAGGAGGATAGCTCCACTAAACGGACATACCACCGCTGAGGGAGCCGTGTGCGAATACTTGCTTTCTTTTCAGTCCGTTCAGTCATACATCACTGCTAGCGCCTAAGAAAAAGCAGTTGGGAGTGTTGTTGGGTTGTGGTGATGGCAATGACAGGTAAAGTTATAAAGAGCTTTTGTGATCCTTTTGTTCTAACATACGAAGTAGGTCTTGGTTAACACTCAGAATGTGTTCTTTGTCTTTTTCTCACTGTAATTCAGTGCAGTGTTTTGTCAACTCGTCATCACAATGATTTGATGTATTTGATGTCTCCTGAGCAGCCGACAAACATATCCACAAGCTTTATTTAAGTCTTTTGCTTTTGCCATAACAATAGCCCTAACTGCTGAAATAGCAGTTTGTAGATTCCAGATATTAGGGATTGAAAACCATTTTTATTATTTTAATCCAAGTTTGCTTTTCAGCTTTTAGTGCTGTTCAGACTGGCGTTATCAGTGCTGGTAATTAACGCCCCATTTTCTTGTTGTTGTGGCCGCTTGCAAGCAGCTGTTTTCTCCTTGCCGTTAATGTATATTCCCTTTGGGGGCAAAGATACTAAAGAAGAAAAACAGAATGACCTTGTGCAGGATGTACTGTAACAGCGAAGGGTAATAATGGTTTCTATTGTTAGCAAGATTTTAGTGCAGGAATGCATGTAGGCAGTTCATGAAATATTTACAAAACTTGGAAGATTGGAGGGGGGAAAAAAGGGCAGGGGGTATGGGGAGGCAGTAGAAAATAACTTTGAAATGTTATTGTGTAGGAATGGCTAAGTGGCTCCGTCAGAGCCCGGAGGTCTCCCCAGAGCCCCGGTGTAGGTGGGGAGGGCCCGGGCGGCAGCGTGGGGAGCAGAGGGCCCCTGCCACCGCCCTCCCCGGGGCTCCGGGGACAAACCTTACTTGTCTTCATCTCCAGGAGCCAATAAAGACAAATAAATCAAGGTGGTTATTTTCTGGAGACTAGTCCTCCAGTGTGGCATTTTGGTTTGTGTAGTCCTGGAAGCAGTTTCTTTTCCCACTTCAGGGGCTCCTCTTACATGGGAGAACTGCCCCGTGTGTTACCTTTCTCTCTTTCACTAAAAGGTTCTCTCATATTTTTCTCCTGACTGTTTTGAAGGGACCTGGTGATGCTTCCTTCAGGTTTTTCATCCTGCTTCTGTAGAGAAGAGTAGACAGCTGTGGACCTGAGAACAGCTGCGTTCCTTGCTCTTGGTGGCCATTCTGATAACCTCTGTTCTGAACGAGCCATCACCTTTTCACTCAGAGGTTGCTGCATTTAGCAAAGGATGCATGGATCTCTCCAAATGCTCCGTTGCTCTAGAAAGAGGTTTTACTGATTTCCCGAGACCCAGGGTATAGCATAGTGTGTCAAGGGCTTTGTGGCTCTAAGGAACTTTACCATTCCCAGTGAAGTATTTTTTCTCCTCATCATTCCTGCTTTCCCTTTTTACTCTTGACTGGACTTCAGGGGTTATTTTTCATTATTTATTTTCAAAACCAATTTTGAATCTTTTTTTGAATGAAAGAAGCCATGTAAATGTATCAAAATTGCTGTTAACAGAAAAACTGCACACTGCCTTTATGAACCTAGTATTAAAATGAATTACAAATTTGCACTTTATTCTAGCCTAAGTCATTATACTTGCAGCTGTTTGCATCACTACAGACTGAAAAGGACTTTAGACCTCAGTCCCTGTGATATCCCACCTCTGTGCCAATTAAAGCCTCTTTACAGGAGTTTGATTACGAGACCCGTATACATGGTTGAAAGGTCTGAATGTTTGCCTTTAAAACACTCTCCATTTGTACCAGAAATCTCCTACTGCATCCTAGACTAGAGGTTACCCTGCAGCAATCCTTATTTCAAAAGGCAGCATTCAAGAAATGGATTTGAATTGTTGGTTATTCCCCCAAGCTCATTAAACACCCATATGGCAGGATTGCTCTTTCAGATGTGGATATTCCAGTTTAAGCAACAGGATATTCAAGAAAAAAACTGTAGCTGGCCAACTGGCCAACGTAAGCTCTTTGGAATACTCCCTTCATTTAGCAGTTACTCTCTTTGGGGTTTTGCCCTCTGATCAGCAAGGTAAACACAAGCGAGGAAGCATGGGCACATCCAGCACCGCCCATCCGAGCCCCAAGGCTGAGGAGGAGCACGAGGAGAGTCGGGCACTGAAGTTTAAATGTGAGGCCTCCCTGTCATTTGCTGTATTACGGGGAATAAAGCTTCTTGTCTGCATTGACAGTGTTTTGAAGTATCATGTGCTTTTCCTTTCCACACTCAAACACATGATGTCTCCTCCCTTCCTCTGCTCAGCTGTGATTCTTTAAAGTTTAAAAAAAAAAAAAAAAGGGGGGCGGGGAGGGAGTTCGGTTTTGTCAGGACAGCTGTATTCTCTCTGAACTCCTGCTGCTCATAGCTGGTCGCTGTGTTCATCTGGGCCGAGTCTGTTTCTCTCGGTACCAATTCCATTAGTTTGGTAGGGATACAAATATACAGATGAAAAATACTGTATACTGGAAGCAGTATTCAGAAAGAACTGTTTGAGCACAGCTCCTGGTATTTGTCCTGAATCTCCTTCAAGTCCACTGCTTTTTCCAAGTACTCGGAGGACAACACCCTTAATTTCTTGCTAGTTTTTCTAGCATCTTGGATTCGGATCTAATAAACTGGTAATCTTGGTATAATTCTTCAGGCAGGAAGAGACTGATGTGCCGGGTTTTAATACAGAATCTTCGAGGGACACAGAAGATTCAGATTTATTTCACCTAACGCATGAATCTTAGGACTTCCTAGTGCTACATACCCCTTCCCAACGAGATTATATTATCTTCAGGAGAGATTTAGCCACGCTCCTCCACGAGACTGCAGCAAAAGGTTCAATGTTCTCAAAGGCAAAAGGAAGTAAATTGTCATCCTTAGCTGCCCCTCGTAGGAAGACAAGTGCTCTGTGCCCCCTCATACATTGTGCGAGGGGCAAGAGGGGGTGTTGTGGCCCTCCTGGTTCTCTGTAGTTCACGTCTTCACAAGCCTTAACTGTGCTCCCGATTACTAGCTCCTTTTTCCACCAACACTAGAGGTTTTCTTTAAATTCTCATAACTTGACAAATATGCAACAACAAGGAAAAAAAAAAAAAAAAAAAAAAAAAAAAAAAAAAAAAAAAAGCAGCTGAAGCCTTGCTGTTCCTTTAGTGACTCTGAGTGTTGTCAGGGTTGGTTTAAGTGGTCCTTTTCACCTCCGTGGATTTTATTACCTTTTTCCATAGTACAAAGTGGCTCTGTATATTCCCCATCACTTTCCCTCTGAGGTGGTTAATATGCTTTTCGTGCGGTAGTGTGTGGTTTCACTTTTCACTACACTTGTTTCTAAGAGCTTGCAATCATTAGCTTCAGGTTTCTGATATTCATATAGAAAGGGGGGGGAAAATGCTCTTTTTGTGTCTTGTTGCTTTTTGTTGATAGTAGGAAATAAATCATTTTTAGTCACTGTGATAGAAATTGAATTAATACATGTTGAGAAACAAAGACACTTAAATCTTTTAAAAGATGACTGTGTGGTTTTGCCTGAGTTACGATGTGATTTATCAGCTGAGATCAAGAGCAAATTCCCTATTTCTGTATCGTGTGACTACTTAGAACTGCCAGAATAGACAAACTTTAATTTGCTGGCCTCTGTCTAGAGCCAGTGCTGGCAAGAAAACGTATAGAGCATATGGGCTGTAAGGATGTTAAATATACCACCTGATGGGCTTTGTGCAAGGTCAGCCCGTCCAGGAAAATCACTGGCACCCTCTCTGAATGTAATTCAGAGTTGACCCCTTTGTCTTCTCAGTCCTTTCTGAAATAGGATCTCCATATCACCTCTCTTCCAGTGCCACATGTGTTTCTGGACTTTTTAAAAAAAAATTATTTATTATTATTATTGTTGTTGTTGTTAATTATCATTATTATTATTTTGGGAAAACCACTGAGAAGGAAGAGCTAAGAAAAGCTGGGGAGAGGGATGGGTGTTTTGTTTTGCATAATACTAGGAAGACAGTGTCATTCTGTAGCACCTGAGTGGCATTTGTTATCCGTGGATCCTACATTTTGGAGCAAAGAACAGAAGGCATGGAGCAGGGGTGTCATTTGCTCGCAGTTGTACAGTGGGTCAGTGGCCGAGGCTGATTTCTTGTCTCCTGGCCCAGGCTGCCTTTGCAGATTTACCCAGCACTAACTAGGGGGGGTAGAATGTTATTGTCAAAGAGTTGAGTAATTGTACATAACAGATTATTCTCTCCATGAAACCGTGAAAAATGAAAATTTGCAAAATGGTTTATTTTTAAATGCTAGAATTGTTCTTTAATTTATTTAGTCATATGCATCAGCATTTCTCAGTAATTGCTCAAACAAGCACAAATAATTAAGCAAGAAGACAATAAAACCATAAAAAACCAAATAATACAGATAAGCTTTCAGTGATGCTTTCAACCTACCGAAAGAGCCCTTCAAAAGTGTTTCACAGCTTATTCTCCACCGTTGCTGAGTATCCAGCAGCTCACAACAGTCAGAGGGCTCTGCGGAGCTCAGCCCAGGCCAGAGCAGGACGGGCTATGCTGGGGTACACTGGGGAGTGATCCTGTACCGTGCCTCTGGGGGCACCAACTCAAACTGCTGTAAATTCCCCACAGAAATCTGAAGGTATTTTTGTACAGAGAGCATCTCAGAGAAGGGATGCGGCACCTACGGTTAAGTAAAGGAGAACAAACCCAGCTGTGTTTAAACCTATTGAAACGTATGAATAATGTCATAATAAGTTCCATTGCATCGTTCAGATTCTCTGTGTTCACACCCTCAGTATAAATTGTGATTCACGTTTTCATGCAATTAACGTTATGTGGTAATTGGTAAGTGGTGTGTCTGAAAATGGTGTGAAAGAAGTGTTGGGTTGGGGGGAAAAAAATACCCTTTGCAGGCCGTGCAGGGTGTTGGACCCTCAGCAGAGCTTGCTAGTGAACATCAGAGCAGGGTCCGGTTCTCCTCAGCTGTGGTGAGGAAGGGCTCCGCAGCCCACAGCGCCTTGGCCAGGGCTGCAGCCAAAGGCAGAGGTTCTCTCCAGCTACCGGCACCGTTCACCTTACAGGCCGCTCGGACCCTCAGTTCAGTATCGTGACCAAACATAAAAAAGGGCAGGAATAGTTTCCTAGCACTAACAACCCATTCTTTACATAGCTCAGATTGATTTATTCAGGTCAGAAATCAAAGACAGATTCATTTCTGCAGCTGGCAGGATAACTATTAAAGTTTAAAATCTTCACAGACATGAGTCCTTTAAAAATCGTACTGCTGCCCGAATATTTTATCTACGGCGTTTACAAATGACAACTGAGATCAAGGTAGCTGGAAGAAGAGTGGAATATGTTTCTTATCGTTCCAGTTGTATTTATTTCATGCGTGCGGCAGCATTTTGCCTGTTGTCGCTCTCAGCTTTGCCTTAGAAGCGCGTGGTCTTGGCCCCGTTTATGTGGGTATTTCACACAACAGTAAGAGGGCAAAGAGCATGGGAGAAAAATTAGAAGATCTCTGATTTTATCTATAGAAATCAGTCATGAGAAGTCTGAGTAGGTGGACTAAAATTGCATGTAACATATTTTTAAAAGAGTAATCTCGTATGACTTTGATTTTCCTGAAGTCTAGGGAAATATACATAAGTGAGAATCAGAAAATGATTCTGTATTTTTAAGGAGTTGCTCGTCTTTTGTTAGACAACAAAATAATTATGAAGAACTGTGCTTTGAAACAGATCTTACTGTCTTTTCCACAAATGATTATGCTGTTGTATCAGAGCATGGCATTCTTTACCACTGTGGGTTTTTTTATGTTATTATTCATTTGTATTTTCTTTCTGAAATATTTAATCATGTAATAGCTTCCACAGTTCCAGTTTATTGCAAAGATAACATGGATATCTAGGTATCTAGTACTAAAAATACAAACTCAATACATTAAAAATGGATTAAAGAAAAACAGACCAATTAGTTTTAGTGCAGGTCATTGTAATGCAACATAAAAAATCTGCAGAGTATTTTTCATACCTGAGTGGAAATGTGGGTTAACCTCTCACATCTCTGAGATATTGCCTAGTAACCACTAACGACACTGATTATTCTTTCAAGCCAAAACGCAGCTTTTTTTTTTTTATACTTTGACTTTCTGGCTCGATTCAGGACCAGAGACACATGTTTTTCCGAATTTCCAGTTGAATCACAAAGCAAGAAGAAGGAAATCTGTTCCTGTTCCTGTTCGGTGTCTGCTTTACAGACCTTTGTGTCTCCCTGTGTGGAGGGATACTGCCCTACGCCGACAACTGTCACAAGAAGAATTGTGTTGACCCTGTTCTCACTAGCACAGATACTCCCAGGTCAAAAGTTTCAGACTTGCTCAGAAGGGATATCTGGCCCTATGGATAGGATTCAAATACTGTTCTTACTTACCTGATGATACACGTGCTGTTTCAGTTTGGGTTTCATGGTGACGCACACTGATCAAAGCAGCGTTTGACTGGAATCACCAAAGGACCCAAGCAGTTGCCAGCCATCCTCCGAGGTGCATTTGGTGATCTCGGTCTCTGCAGGGACAGGCGCAAAGCCAGGCTTTTGGTCAGAGGGATCAGCGTTCCCTGTCGTGGGCAGAGCAGGCAGTCGTTTTCCTACTAACGCAGATCGCAGCGCTCTGATGGGGAGAAGGCAGTGGGGATAAGGAGTACCGGCACTTTCCGCTGTGTAAACAATACGGAATGAATGTATTACTGGCAGTGCCTAATTTTAATTTATATATGCATTAGAGAACTTTTTACCCTGCTCCAGTATGAATTCTGATTGAATAGCACCAACAATGTACTTCGCCTTCTGTGTATTAATTATTTTTATTCTCTGCCACAGTATTCAAAATCAGATAGGCATCCTGGGCCGATTCTGGACAAAGTTATGGAATCTAGTTTTTCAGGCCCGCAGTCTTTCCCAGAGGCCTTGTCTCCTGACAGAGGAACCCAGCCCAGCCGGCAGCCCAGGTGAGCAGGGGGGTGCTGGAGGTGTGGCGGGGCCGGGGGTGTCCGCAGGCCGGGGGGCGC